TTATTTATTTACATTACTTTACATATATACATATTTACATACACATATACCATGTGTCTTGTTCTTCTTTGGAATTTCTTTGATCATTTTCACTAAACATTTTTACTTCCTTTTTTTAGCCAATTATACTATATTCCATATTGTAAAAAAAACCTTATTTTTTAATACCATAGTTAATCTAATCATTTCTGCACATTGACAAATTTTATTAATTACCGTCAGATCTGTGGGAACCAGTCGATTTCCAGTTTTGGGCAAAAGCTATTCTTGCTGCTGTTATAATGTGTAATATTTGATGTTGGTGCTTCTTATCCCATGTTGTTCTAACATTCCTCGCAGAAAAATCTCTGGTTTAAATTTAATCTTTTGTTTTGTTAGCTCTTCTATCCATGATCGAATTTTAAGCCAGTACTTTCACGCTTGAGAACATTTCCACCACATGTGAAAATACGTTCCCTGGCTATGGTCGCACTTCCAACACTTAGCTGGGAGATTCGGGAACATTCTAGTTAATCTCAGGTGGGTTTTTTTAATGTATCTTAAGTCAGTGGGGATATCTCTCAAGGAGAAAGTTTTAACTTTTGGCCATGAAAACATATTCAGCCAATGGAACTCATCAAAGCCTGTTGAAATATTGCTTTGCAGAGCAAAAGTGACGGTGCTCAGATGTTCATTACTTTTTCTCTAGGTACTGGTGTAATTTTTGTTTTGCTGACCTGGGCTGGGTTCCAGCATCCATGGCAAGTAGCGAGGCACACTCGGTGCTTTCAAACGAAACATCACAAAATTAGAGCGAGAAAGGAATGTGTCTAACAAAAGCACTTTTGTAAAAGTGAGGAAGAAATCCAAACGTCTGTATATTGCCTTCTGAAGTTTCTTTTGGCTGTTAGTTCTCCTCAACCAATAAGTTGATGTTCTTCCAAAACCCTTCTTTATGTAGATATAGCCACCTTCAATACTCTTCCTTAATATTTTGATCTAGAATCTGAAATAGGCTATTAACATTTCTTTGGTTGCAACACAGTTCTTCTCTGTTACACATGTACATGTAAATACCCTTCCATGTTTTCAAAATTATTTTCTTTAACTTACACCCCATATTTCATACAGGAGTCTATGGTGGCAATCATAGCATTTCCTCATACTTTTCCTTACAACTCTATGACATAGGCTGGGCTGAAAACTAAATGAATGGTCCAGAATAATCCAGGGTGCTTCTTGAGGCAAAGAATTTGATGCTTTTTCATTATAGGAAATACTTAAGATTCTGTAAAGATGGGATAAGCCAGAATTAGATACGTTGCCTTGAAAAATCAACCAATCAACCAATCTTTTACAGTGGTAGCTTTAAAAATTATAAATTACACCGGTAACTTTTTGGAAATTTAGAATCATTAAATGAACAGAACCATAAAATAATGATACTTATAAAGTGCAGCTTGATAGTTTTCTTTGCAATTACTTATTTAAATATCTGCATTTCTTCTTTTGCCGTATTTATGTTTAATGTTGCAATGCTAGGTTATATCCTAATTCAGCTAAAAAAGACAGTTTTCATACCTTTGGATAACCAAAGATTTCAATGCATTCTAGCTTACACTGAATTACTGTATTTATTTATATAGAGAAATATCAGATTCAGATGCCTGGCAAAAATGCAATAACTAAAACTAAAGTAATGGAATTTCAGCTATGCAACTTCGAATGACCGTTAACAACCTTCCACTTATGAACAAGGACATCCTGCTTCCACTCTAAGCAAAAGTTTGAAATTAGTAAGAGTCTGTCAGCTTCTTCATAAAGGAAATGGGATTAATGTCAAGATTATGAAGAGAATATCAATTTGACTGTATCAGCCCTGCGTTCAAATTATACCTGAACTGCATAACGGGGTACAGTAAAATTAATCTAATTCAAGCATTAGGATTCTTTAAGCCTTGCAAATTCTTGGTGACCTCTTTCACTGTAATCAATGGGAATCTGAATTTTTAAATTCTGGACATGTTTCCACTGTTCTGCACCCCAGGAGCAATAGCAGCCTGAGGGGGAAATTACTGGTTGCCAAGCACCCAAAATATAGGAGGGGTCGCTATTGGAACTTCAGAACTGTGTTGTAAATATGTTTGGAGGTATCAACTGTAACTTCAAACTTTACTAATTTATCAGTTATAAGTCGTGGACTACATGTATAAGATAGAATGCAACAATAAGTGTTCACTGGGTTTGCAGAACGTTTATATTTGACTTGGATGGCACCAAATCTTCCCAGATTCTCAGCTGCTCACAACAAAAAACATATAATGGAGGGGGGAAAACTTTGTTGTATCATGTGGCAATGATTCCACAACAGGGAAAACAGAGAAGAGAGAATATAAATATCAATCCATCAATTTCAAAATGCCTTCTGGATGTTAAACCATGATGTAATTTGCTTGTTTGTGGGTTACCAAGTTACTGGAATTTAACGATTGAGTTTTCCATATTGTGGTATGTTTACCACCTAATGTGAATCTTGTAAAGTATTTAATAAACCACAGTTAATGAATAAATACAACCATACTAAGTTAAAATATAATATCCTGGCAGAAACTGTCAAGTTTCACAGCTACTCCTTATCAATTGTTAATATTTATGCTAGCCACTTATTTTTTTAAAAAAGTCTGTTATGTCTAATTTTCCCAACTTGAGTTCCTTTGTAGGTGTGTGGATTTCAGCCTCGAATTCTTAATGCAGAAATCTAACTTTAACTCACATATCTGGAGAGCTAGTTTGTACCAAATCTTGATTACCTTTGTACCTTTTAATAAAAAGCACCTTATCATATCATCATGATTCACAGTGCTGTGCCCTTTCCCATTCAAAGAAAGTTCTGGGCAAAGAAATGACATTCTAGAAATTATGTAAACTTCCAAATTTATACTGCTATCTGGCATGACAGCTGTTAACTTGAAATGTAACCTTAATAGTTTTGGGCAAGCAGAAGGAACGGTGTCATTGACAAATCAGCAAGGCAGCATAGCATATCTTACTTTCTCCTCCCCCCCATTACCAGCAATTTTGAATAATGTGAAATGTGAAAGTATAATTCAAAGCAAACAAAAGGCCCAAGAAGGAACTTGGTGCTCATCAAGTTTGCAAAGACCAAATCAGTTTGTTAGCTATCTAAAATCTAAACCATGGCCACAAAAATAAAATTCAGCTGTTATACTTTGAAGTTTACTAAAACTCAGCAGGATAAAAGGATACACAGTTGTACATATGAAAATCATGGCAACGTGCAAAAACAAGCAGGACAAAGGGGAAAAAAGAGACTTGTGACATCTGAGAACCAAATGATAAGAGGACAAGTCTAATCACAACTCAATCCTTAAGTGGTCTAGTGACTAGTCAACAAAAGCTGGATGTCACAATAATTCTACCTTTTAAAGTGTCATAAAATGTTTCTTACAACATACTACTGTCATATATTTTTCCTTTGGAATTAATCTCTCTTAGTTAATCCAGCGTTTTCAGTAGTGGAGGCAAAATTGGACAAAGCTGTTAAAGCTTCTGAACAAATTAATGTGTTTAGAGCTAAGGAGAAAAAAAATAGTCAGGACTTTTAAAGCAGAGCAAAGTTTCAAACCCAGAGTGGCCTTATGTTACAGCAATAAACAGCTCAAAACCCTGAGCCTGCACAGCATTGCCATTTTGAGAGGAAATTTACTATTTAGCTGCACACGTGCACGTATCACCTCCCTTCACTTCTACTGCCTCCCAAACCAGCTCGCTCCACGTCTAGGGAACAGAGGTAATCATTAGCTGAGGGATCCTGCTTGCTCTCTTGATCTCCTGCTCTGGTTCAATGCACGACCAAGACATAAAAATTTTTTTAAAAAAAAGACCACAAATAACCAGGCTGGATTCTGAATTCATCCCGACTTGGGCGACTGAAATGTTGGGAGCTCCCCGTTGAGGTGCGTTCACCACCCCGCATCGCAATCCCAAATAACGCAACTGGGAACCGCTTTGGGGGAAAGCACAACCGAACCACGAAAGGCTTATTCCACACAGCAAAGCGATTTGGAGGAAAAGTACAAAAAAGCGTTTCCTCAGGGAAAAGAGAAGTAGCACGTGGCGACTCTCGGCCTACCTTTATATATATATATGTAGGTCTAGGTGTGTTCGGGTCTTTTCCCGTGTAAGATTAAGAGTATCTATAAGAGTATCTAATATATATATATATTAGATACTCTTATATATATATGAAGTCTGAGAGGGCGGCTGGGAAACACATGCACGCCAGCCATCCCCCCCTCCACCCAAGGGAAAGCGGCCTTCTGTACTCAAGGGAGCCGCCGTCCGTCGCCTTCCCTCCCCCGCGGGCACGGTCCCTCCCTCCCTCCCTTCCTATTGTGCAACAACCGCGGCGTCTTGAGGCTCTCCGGGGCCTTGTTTACAAATACCTCGCCGCCAGCCCCACACCAGAGGCGAGGCCTAGGCGGCGGTCCGGATCTAGCCCGCTTTCTTTCCCCCACCACCCGAGACTTTGCGGCCGAGGCCTCCCTGGCCTCAGCCCGCCTGTAGAACAAGCGGCTTCCACCCCCCCACCCACCCCCCCACCTTGCAGCGGCTTCACCGCCGCAAAGAGTCTTTTTCCCCGCAATGCTCCGGCTGGAGGGCAAAGCGCTCACGAGGGCGCGTCACGTTTCCGCAGGGCAGCCTCGGAGGACTCTTTTCCCCCGAGCCCTTCGACGAGGATGCTTATGACAAGGGGGGGGCGAGGATTTAGGGGGTCCCCTTCCCCCGCCAAGGCCTCCCAGGCGCCCACACCCCCTTTTAAAGGCGCCTGGAAATCAAGAGCTCCAGCCAGGCCGGCGCACGCCCCCTTCTTCCTTCCCGCTTCGGTGAGCCTGCCCGGCGGCGCGGGTCTCTTCCCCTCATGAGCAGGGCAAGGCCCCTTCGCGCCTCGCCTTCCCTGGCCTCTTTTTCCTCCCCACCCACCCACCCACCTCGCTTACCTCCGGGCGTGGTGGAGAAGAGGGTCCCCCCGGGCGTGGTGCAATAGTCATGAGGTAGCTGCGAGGAGTCGCTGATGGGCACCGTCCTGGTGGGGATGGCGCGGCTCTGGCTTTGCTGGTGGCCGCCGGAGGAGGACATCTCCCGCTCTTATTGTCCTGGGTGGGCGAGAGTGGCTGGGAGGCAGGGAAGTCCAGGAGCTGCGGAGAGGGAAACTTGGGTGGGTGGGTAGGTGGGGGCGAAGGGATACAAAAATGGGGGCCGGAGAACAGGGAGGCAGCGGGGCGCAAGGAAGAAGAAGGGGTGGCGGCGGCGGCGGCGGCTTCCTTCGGGGACGAGCGGGGGTGGAGGTGATCGCTTCTCCGGCTCCGGGGCACTTTTCTTTCCGTCACCGCCTCCACCGCCACCTTCTCCCTCGGCCTCCGCCAGCAGCAGGAAACGGAGGGGCTCGGGAGGCGGAGAAAGGCGGGCAAGGCCGAGCCAGGAGGCGGGGACGCGGCGGAGACACCCACCCGCCGAGGGGGCACGTGGCCGCTTCTCTGCTGGGCCAAAGCGGAACGTCTTCGGGTCTGAATAAGCAGGAGCCCGAGGCCTGGGCGGCTCCGTCCTGGGTAGTGGTGGCGTTAAGCCCGAGGGGATCTAGCAGGGAGGCGGGAATTGCTTATAAGCCAGAACGGGCATCTTGGATGAAGAATACTTTGAAGTCCCCCCCCCCTCTTTCTTCAGCCCTAAAGAATACAGCCCTAAAGAATCCTCAACTTACGACCACAATTTTGAGCCCCAAATTTATGTTGCTAAGTGAGAAATGAGTTAAGTCAGTTTTGCCCCATTTTACGACTTTTCTCATCACGTTTGTTAAGTGAATCACTCAGTTCTTATATTAGTAAAACCGTTGTTAAGTGAATCTGGTTTCCCCTTGACTGGTTGTCAGAAGGTCGCAAAAGGGGATCAAGTAAGTCCAGAACACTGCAATCGTCGTAAATGTGAGCTACGAATATAAATCCCGTGACTACAGGGATGCTGCAATGGTCATAAGTATGAAAAATGGTCATAACTTTTTTCACTGCCGTTGTAACTTCAAATGGTCACTAAGTGAACTGTTATGAGTTGAGGACTACTATAATATTGGAATCTCCAACTTGATGTTGAGATACGTCCAGAGCAATTTTAATAGATAAGGCTGCATGAACATAGAATATAGGACATTGTGGTATAATTGTAGATAAGATAAAGTTGCAATCCAATGTCTCTTGCCAGGACAAAGAGGAACAGAACAAAGCTGGTTCTTTGTGAACTTTTGTATAAACAGGATATTATGTGCTGAGTTTGATGGAAATTATTTTCAAGTAGTATAAAAGGCACTCATTGAACTGGCCATAATAAAATAGTGTTTTCATACTGGAGCATTATTTTTATTTAAAGATCTTGAAATAGTAGGCAAAAGTTTAGAGAGGTTTAGTTTTCAGACTTACGTGCTCCTTGGAAATGGGCACCATTTTATTGTAAAATATCTATATCACATATACACTTTGTTATAAGCATATATGTGTGTGGAAAGTAATAAAATGAGCACCCAAATCAATGCGTATGACCTGTCATTACTGCATAATCAGTCAGCCTATCTGCCACTGTGCTTATCTGCCATTCAACATACAATATTCATTTAGGCCAGGGGTGTCAAACTCACGTCATCATGGCAGCGTCCTTGCCTTACCGGAACTTTTTTCCCCTTCACTAAACTGGGCGTGGGCATGGTCAGCACATGAAGAATCCGGCTTGCGGACCAAGAGTTTGATAGCCCTGATTTAGGCTGTAGGACCTGAAATCAATTTATAGCTAATTCCATACTTTCTCCAAAAGTTTTCATTAGGCAAGGCTGAGCAAAAAACAGGAAAGCAGTTGATGTTGGAGGCCAAGAGTCTGTATTTAAACAATGGTTCATATAAGCTAAAATTTATGAATTATTACATTATGTTAAATTGAGACAATTGCGTGTATTCTATAAAATCTAGAATTGATATTTTTGTCTGTTATTTATTTCTTATTTGGTTGCAACACTCTGATTCAAAACATGAACCAGTTGTTTATTTCCTTGTATTAATCAGTCTATGGCAATATCATAGTTACAAAGTTGCTAGTGACCAAAACAAATGCCAGAAAATGGAAAACTAAATGCACCTAATTATATATGGGAAATTTTTACTGAATATGAAGCTTATGTTTGAATTCAATTAGTTGCGTCTGAATCTTGTTCGCTGTTTGTGACTCTTAGACAAGTAAGTGTTCACCATTTGAACTATCTTTAAAAATAGCTCATAAGTCTTTTAAAGATATTTTCCCAATATTTAGATTTTAGTTTCTACTGCTTCCTACTTTGGTCTAACTTGCCAAACATAATTTTTTTCTTCATCAATCATGAATGTGCCTCACATATCCCAAGTTTCTGCTTGCTGATGCATTGTCTCAAGGCACCATCAATCCTCACTTGATTTACCCTGATTGATTCGTGCAGTCTATGATACTGTACTCTAAAAAGTCATTCCCATACCTATACATTGAAAGTTATATACTTTCTCTTATTATTTTTTAACCCTAACCCTAACCATGGCATGACCCTTTGCAATCTTATCTTTGTCATTAACATCCCTACCTAGAATTTATTTCTATCTGTGTATCCATCTTCGACATTGTGGTCAACTGTAGGAATCTTAGCTTCATATTCCTGTTGGCTTCTTAATGTTTAATAAAGGTTCCTTTCATTCCCCATTTTTACCTTTCATAATAGGTTCGTACCTATACTTATCTTCAGCTGACTAAATGTCAGGTAAACAGGTAAAGACCTGCACTATATCAACATAATTTTCTGTGCTCACGAGTAGAAAATGTCCTTGATTTAGTCAGTGTGATTCACTTCCAAATAACCATGCTTAAGACCAGACTATAAAATCCCCATTATTTTTTTTCTCTTTTTTTTTTAACTTTAAAGTTAGAATGATCATTAGGCTTTTTGGCCTTTTACAAATGTTTTCTTGCAAAATCCTTATCCATCATCAAAATGTATCTGCTGGATTGCAACTGCAACAAGAATCATCCTTCACTATCTCTTACCCCAAACATCCTAGCTTTGCATTCTCTTGAATATCATAGTGCCATGAGGAGCAGTGGCCAGGATATGGGTTCTTACTCCAGATACAATTAATGCAGGCTGTCTATCAGTCTTCCCATCAAGGTTTCAGTCCCGTAGCTCTAACTTCTTGTAGTTGTCTCTTGTAAGTCTCTCCTTGTAGTCTGTCTTGAACATAATCCTAATCAAGGGGAGTCATAAGAGTCATCTCCTATTCTTGAATACCTAGAATCACTTCTGGTAAGCTCAGGGCTTTCTCTTCCAAATAAGCACACAGTTTTTCAATACAAGTATGACAAAACTGGCATAGAGGCTCTTAGGCCCTTGTTTCAATGCTGCACATCTCAAAGAATTAGTACATTTCATAACATCCTTCTTACAGCAAGGGTCATGTTGATAAGTAAAATGAAGACTGATTGTGTTCTTAAGTCAGTGTAAGCATATCCAAGAACTATTTTGTTTCAGTAAAATTTTATACAGATTTAACTGAGGTGGGTATCTGTATTTGGTGACCATGTTTTTCCCCCCTCTGTTGTCCTTTTCCACAAGACCAAAGGTATTGCTTTCTTAGAGCCCCAGTCCATTGATTCTTACAATTTCTAACTTCAGTTTGAGCCATTTGCTCCAACCCTCATTTTCTTGGGAACAGAATATAATCCTTGATTTAATTTAGAAATGTAGGAATAGGCTCATGACTTCCATTGCCCATTACAACCTTCACTTCAGGCAATATATAAAAAGGATCCTTGGCACAGTCAACCCATGTCATAGCCTATTTAGAAACAAAACAGCATTGTATACTATTATGGAGTACAAGTATATTTTTGTTCCTTAAAGATACAGAATATATTCTGTATTATTCTTAGGCATGAGCATCTAGTTAGATATGAAAGTTTCTAGTGCTTTTCTCCAAGGAAGAAAAAATGTTTTTCAGGTCAGTGAAATGCCAGTAACTTGATGTGGTGTGTGCGTCATGATGACAATGAATACAAAACTGATGATGACGAGTATTAAAAAATCTCGAGTCAGCAATCAAGCATAACTGAAGACTGCATGATTAATCCTCTGGGCAGAGGGTGTGTGGAGAAAATATTTTGCATTGGTAAAGTCCATCAGGAATCAAAAAAGATCCCTTAGTCCAGGCACAACTCTTAGGTTAGAATGACATAGATTTTGGTGTAAAGCAGCTTCCTATGTAAATTTCTGAGAAGCATCTTTACTAACTTCATTTTGCTTATCGAAGTGCTAAATTTACAGTCTTCCTTAAAACAACAGCTTTAGGCTTAGCTACAGATAGATGAAAGAAGGAAGTGCCAAAATGCCAAATTTGTTTGTTGGGTTTTATGCTTTTCTCAACTCATTGCTCTTAAACAGAGCACCCACCAAATCGATTATGTAGAAGTGAAGAGCACAGAATAGAAGATGAAAAATAGAATCTTTAGTTGTTTGCAGTTATGCAAATATATGAATATAAGCACCAGCCCCTCTCATTATGGCCAAACATAGGAATGATGTTATATAAACATTTCTACTGTGAGGAATTTTAAGGTGGCTTTCATAACCCTTCTTACATTCTTTCAATATATAAGAGAAGAGCTGTGTGAATCTGGCTAGGAACACTTTTGGAGCAAGAACAGGAAACTTTTGCTGCATTAGCAAAAACTAATGGAGACTTGAACGGAAGGGTAATCAAGTTCACTTGTATACTATCTACCACACCGCAAGGCGGATACAGACATTTGGACTTTGTTTTTTTTTTTAGGATTCAAATAGAAACTGACACGCTGATTAATGTTTGGTGTGAAGTTTAAATAGCTAAACTACCTAATGGTTGGAGATACTGAAGCGAAGGGGAGGATTTATCACTAAAAAGTAATTTATCCTTTTTTACTATGGCTTTTTAATAATTCAAATGAGGCAGTCTGTATTGATTCATTTTTGAAAAACTATTTGCTTTTTTCTTCATATTTCAATATTTTAATAAGCAAGGAAAAGGGGAAGAAATTCAATAAAGCTAGTACCTGATAGCATTATCAAAGTATCAGCAAAATGGACATGATCATCCCATAGAATATGATTATTTTTGCCCTTCTAATGCAATTGTTCCAGCTTGTTCAATATTGTCTTATTGCAGCAGCTCAAATTAAAGGCTTAGTATGAAGCATCTGGTTGACTTGTCTGGACTCAGAAATCAAGCAGGACTGGATTACTTAAGTGTAATATTTGTTAAGAAATCACAGGGCTGTTGGCCGGGGTGAAAGTCAAAACAGCTTCCTGGGAGGAGCAACTAGCAAATCACTTATATGTTCCTGCCTAGAAAACTACTGTACATGCATGAATCCCATGAAATTTGAGGCCTGAGGAGACTTTATCTTTTATGCAAATATTTGGTGCCACAAAATTACTTACAGGTAATCCTCAACGTGTGACCACAATTGGGAGAATTTCAGTTGCTAAGCAGTTAATGAGCCGTGCCCAATTTTATGACCTATTTTGCTCCAGTTAAGCAAATCACTGCAGTTGTTAAGTGAACCATGCATTAAGTGAATCTGGCTTCCCCCAATTACTTTGTCAGAATACTGCAAGTCCTGTAAATGCAGATTGCAAAACACCTGAATTTTGATCATGTGATTGTAGGGATCAGTCTTAAGTGTGAGGACTAGCTGCATGCCACTGTAACACTGGTCAATAAACAAATGGTTGTAAGTTGAGGATTACCTATAGTTCTTACTTTCTTTCTCTTTCAGCAGCAACTACTTCCAAAGTCACTCCTGCACTCCATGAAAAAAGATACTTTTTTACTATCTGAGAATGCAAAGGAAAAAGGAAGAGGGATGGAAGAGGGCAAGACTTCAGCAACCTAAATATATACAGGTGAAATTCAAAAAATTAGAATATCGTGCAAAAGTTCATTTATTTCAGTAATGCAACTTAAAAGGTAAAACTAATATATGAGATAGACTCATTATATGCAAAGCAAAATAGTTCAAGCCGTGATGTGTCATAATTGTGATGATTATGGCTTACAGCTCATGAAAACCCCAAATCCACAATCTCAGAAAATTAGAATATTACATGCAATCAATAAAACAAGGATTGTACATAGAACAATATCAGACCTCTGAAAAGTACAAGCATGCATATGTACTCAGTACTTGGTTTGGGCCCCTTTTGCAGCAATTACTGCCTCAATGGGGTGTGGCATGGAAGCTATCAGCCTGTGGCACTGCTGAGGTGTTATGGAAGACCAGGATGCTTCAATAGCGGCCTTCAGCTCTTCTGCATTGTTCAGTCTCATGTCTCTCATCTTTCTCTTGGCAATGCCCCATAGATTCTCTATGGGGTTCAGGTCAGGCGAGTTTGCTGGCCAATCAAGCACAGTAATGCCACGGTCATTGAACCAGATTTTGGTGCTTTTGGCAGTGTGGGCAGGTGCCAAGTCCTGCTGGAAAATGAAGTCAGCATTCCCATAAAGCTCGTCTGCGGAAGGAAGCATGAAGTGCTCCAAAATCTCCTGGTAGACGGCTGTGTTGACCCTGGACTTAATGAAGCACAGTGGACCAACATCAGCAGATGACATGGCTCCCCAAATCAACACAGACTGTGGAAACTTCACACTGGACTTCAAGCATCTTGCAGTGTGTGCCTCTCCATTCTTCCTCCACACTCTGGGTCCTTGGTTTCCAAATGAGATGCAAAAGTTGCTCTCATCAAAAAAGAGGACTTTGGACCACTGAGCAACAGACCAGGTCTGTTTTTCTTTAGCCCAGGTAAGACGCTTTTGATGCTTGTTGTTCAGGAGCGGCTTGACAAGAGGAATACGACATTTGAAGCCTATGTCCAGGATCCCTCTGTGTGTGGTGGCTCTTGATGCACTGACTCCAGCCTCAGTCCACTCCTTGTGAAAGTCCCCAACACTTTTGAATGGCCTTTCCTGACAATCCTCTCCAGGCTGCAGTTATCCCTGCTGCTTGTGCACCTTTTTCTTCCACACTTCTCCCTTCCACATAACTTTCTATTAATGTGCTTTGATACAGCACTTTGGGAACATCCAACTTCTTTTGCAATTACCTTTTGAGGCTTCCCCTCCTTATGGAGGGTGTCAGTGATGGTTTTCTGCACAACTGTCAGGTCAGCAGTCTTTCCCATGATTGTGATTCCTACTGAACCAGACTGAGAGACCATTTAAAGGCTCAGGAACCCTTTGCAGGTGTTATGGCTTAATTAGCTGATTAGAGTAGGACACTTTGAGCCTAGAATATTGACCCTTTTCCCAATATTCTAATTTTCTGAGATTGTGGATTTGGGGTTTTCATGAGCTGTAAGCCATAATCATCTCAATTATGACAAATCACGGCTTGAACTATCTTGCTTTGCATGTAATGAGTCTATCTCATATATTAGGTTCACCTTTTAAGTTGCACTACTGAAATAAATGAACTTTTGCACGATATTCTAATTTTTCGAGTTTCACCTGTAGTTAAGAAATTTATCTCTGAACTGAAAAGAGATAAGGAAGAAAAGGAAACCAACAAACTTTTTCCAGCCTAATTGATGGAATTCCCCTTAGTAACAGTCAGCAGAGGACCAAATATTTCAGCAAAGCTAAAGGAGTGGCAGATGTTTGTTCAAGGTGGAACAAGAGCCCGGTCTGGGCTGCTTTGCTAATTTTTATTGTATGTATTTATCCAATTTATATGTATATCCTCCCATTTCATGAGATGTGACTGGTTAGTGTATAATAATTTTCCCTAATATTGGCTACAGAGATACATTTGTGATGATGATGATAATGGTGATGATGATGATAAGGATGTTATCCATTCAGTCACGTCTGACTCGTGGCAATTCTACAGGTCATGTCTCCACATTTTCCAATCTTGCACGGTTTCTTTGTTTCTCAAAGAAAGTTGGTGTTAGTTTTGATGGTGTCCAGCCATCGTGTTCTTTGACGGCCTGTTTTCCTTTTACCACTAACTATTCCAAACATAATTGCTTTACTGCATGACATGACCAAAATAAGTGAGGGGAAAAAAGGTGATGCATTTGCACCAGCTTGCCAAATTCATCACTGCAACAGCTAATAGTTAACCCGGAAATGGAGCTATTAACTAGGAGGGAATGAACTGCATTCTTCAGGAACTCTGCTGGGCTTTGGAGGGGAAAACAAACCCCTTCCCTCCCAAGGAGTCTAGTGGAAAGAAAGGCTAGGAGTAACAGGATAGGAATATTCCAATATTTGAGGGGCTGACACAGGGAAGACTGGTCAACCTATTTCCAAAGCACCTGAAGGCAGGACAAGAAGCAACGGATGGAAACTAATCAAGGAGAGAACCAACCTAAAACTAAGGAAAAATTTCATGATACTAAGAACAATTAACCAATTGGAAGGGCTTGCCTTCAGAATTTGTGAATGCTCCATTACTGGAGATTTTAAAGAAGAGGTTGGACAGCCATTTGTATGGAATAGTATAGGATTTCCTGTTTGAGTAGTGGGTTGGATTAGAAGACTTCCAACTCTTGTTATTCTGTTAACTAAGCACGCTCTCTATTTATAGACTATCGGCTGCCCTCTGGAAAGGGGAAGTAAGCACATGGAGACTGTTTCCCTGCATCTTTTTTTCTATTTATCATGTCCTGGAAGTGAAACCGACCACCTCAGTGCCTAAAATAATGAATTTACTTGCAGGAAGTTTTGTTGTTGTAACTATAACTGAAAAAGGCAAAGGAGCTCAGCCCCTGGTCACTTCTCAAGGGCATCCTTATTGCCTTGGCAAGAGATTAAAAAAGGGGTGGCCATTCCTTTCTCTTGAAAGATGCTTCCCCCCTCCCACCACCGACCATGGTCCCCTCGTGGTCTCCCATCTGAATGCCAAACAGGTCGCTGATGACCTTTCAAGGCAGAAGGGCAATAAAGCGACTCCCCGCTTTGGAGGCCGAGGACGGGCTTCGTCTTTTAAATTCCCCCCGTGGAACCGCGCAGGAATCTCCGCGGTCGCCCACGAGAGAGGGCGCTCGTTCTGCCTGGCTTCGCTTCGCTTTCTCCGGCTGAAACCGTTCGATGATTGGTCCCCGGGCTTCTTCGGGGGCAGTTCTCCGTGCGCTTCGACGGGAGAAGCTTTTTCCCATTCTCCACCCCCGCCCCCCTCTCGGTGAATTTAAAGCGGACACCCAGCTGCTCCCGTCCTTCTCCATGGCTGGGGGAAGCGAGCCAAGAGCGCGGGGTTCGCCGGTGCGCCACGCTCCAGCAGCCGCCCAGGACGGAAGGCAACCCCGCTGTGCCTTTGCGGTAAGCGTGAAAAAAGCAACCGGCCCGGTGGGGAGAGAGCAAAGACCCCGCAGCCTTTGATTGCACTCCAGAGAGCCTTGTCTGGGGACGGGGATCAGAGAAACGGGGGGTGGGGGGGAAGCGCGCAGTGGATGGAGGCTTGCCCCTCTCCCCGCTCGTTGCAACAGGATAAAAGCCTTCTGGGAGCGCACAATGGATCTGCCTTCCCGGACATAAGGCAAGAGAGGGTGACGCACGACTCGAACTTCCGGTAGTGGTGTGAAGCTTCTTGTGAGTTCCAGCACGTACAACAGAGTGGTTGTGGGTTGTGTGGTGCGGAGCTCAGTCTGGTTTTTCCCTGCGGATGGCTGGCCGCGCCGAGCGAGGATGTTCTGTTTTATTGCGGATAGCTTAATCCATTTTCTTCCCCTCTCCAAACACCGAACCTCAAAACGAATTGCAAAAGGTGGGACTCTTTTTTTAACTGTAGGCGAAGAGGGTGGATTAGGCTAAGTTTCTTTTCAGTGCACCGTGCAAACACAGGTGGTGCTGAGACGTCTAGTATGCTACTGGATTTATGCAGGATTCTAAAAATAAAAATGGTTGAACTACAAATTCGCATTTGGCCTGGATTGTATAATACAGTGGTGCTATAAAACAGAGCTCTGCAAAACTTGGCAACTTTAAGACTTGTGAAGCTGGATGCTGTTTATTTTGGGCAGTGTTTTCCAACCTTCACAACTTCAAAATGTGTGGACTTCAACTCCCAGAATTCCCCAGCCAGTTGGGGGATTCTGGGAGTTGAAATTGACATGTCTTCAAGTTAGGAAGGCTAGGAAAACACTGACTGATGGCATACTAAATATTTGGAGAACTCACAATTGTGAATGAGTGTTATGCGTCCTTGAAGAAGGTTGATTCAATTTCAGAAGATAATACAACCGTTGGGACTAGTTGCTTTTTTCCAAACCTAAATGTACATTTGCTCTTTCCAACCACTAGGAGGCAGTAAATATATAACAAAAAAACTTTAACCGATTTGTGCCATCAAGTGTTCTGGGCATAACAGAACACATTATTTGTACCTATATCCATGAATTAATCTGGTCCACTTTTGTCACCTCTAATTCCTGGCTATGCAAACTAATTAAACAATACTGGTCCAAAATACAGATCTTTATGGGATCTCTGTACACACTGGATGCATTTACTCTCATTGACTGGTTTGACTTTTTTCATACATTTTGCAGAGCATGACAGAATCCCTTGGGCAAAATCCCTCGGGAAGTACATTTACATAGGCATCCTTGGGGATGAACTTTGTCAAACAGGGTTGAAAAATGACATTTATAATGTCTGTAGGATTACTTCTGTAATTAATCCTTGCAGATACAGTATTTTCAAAGAAAATGCTAGAACAGTAGCTTTGAATGGTGATTCTTTTTCCACAAAACTTACTTATTATTCCCTTTCACCAACATGTTCATTTTAAGTGTTCAAATTGTTCTGGTATGTTCTATGGCATGCTCAGTCCTTTCACACACACACATATGAAGTTAGATTGACCTTTGTATAAATGTTGAAAATATAGATGGCAACGTTAGAAAAAAACTACATAGTTTAGAATTAGATAGAAGATCAGAAGATTAGAAGGATTCTGGTGGATACTGTTGTAGCTAAGGGAAATTGTTTATTTAACCTGGCCATAAAGTCTAGGACATCATCATATCTGTGTGTGTGTGTGTGTGAGAGAGGGGGGGAGGGGGGGGCTAAATGATCACTGGAACTATCAGTTCGCCCGAACCGGTCCAAACCGGTAGAATCCCACCCCCTGGTACCCTCCCCACACACACAAAATTAGCAGCATAAGCACTTACCCAGGTCATCAGCTACAACATGGTTGTGGGTCTGAATCTGAAACAACCAACACTGTACCAACAGACCAATTTGTGCATGTACACATAGTGCATTCAGAAAGTATTTAAACACCACCACCCCCTTCATTTTTCTCAATTTTATTTTGCTGTAGCCTGATTCCACAGTGGTTGAAGTTCCGTTTTTCTTCATGAATCTATACTCAGTACCCCATAATGACAAAGTGAAAATAGAATTTTAAATTAAAATTTATTATATTTTAATAAATTTACAGACATTTTTAAAATTCTGTTTTTATTTTGTCATTTTGTGGGATACAGGGTGCAGGTTAATGAGGAAAAAAAAGTGAATTTAAACCACTGTAGAATCAACCTGCAGCTCGGCAAAATTGACAAAAGCGAAGGATCTGAATCCTTTCTGAATGCAATGTATGTTTGAGAGAAAGTAGCAAAGTGTATTGTACCACCTCTTGAGATATATTTTAAGTGATTATGATAATATGGGGGGGGGGGGGGGGAACCATGCAGGTAGTCCTCAACTTATGACCAAAATTTCTGTTGCTAAGCAAGACAGTTGTTTAGTCAGTTTTTGACCCGTTGTTACGACTTTTCTGGCCAACTTTTTAAAGCGAATCACTGCAGTTGTAAAGCTAGTACCACGGTTGTTAAGTGAATCTGGCTTCCCCCATTGACTTTGCTTGTCAGAAGTCGGAAAAGATGATCGACACACACACACACACCACACACACACACACACACACACACACACACACACAGAGGACATTGCAACCGTCATAAATATGAGTCGGTTGACAAGTGTCTGAATTTTGATCCTGACTGTGGAGATACTCTGATGGATGTGTGAAAAATTGTCATATGTCCCATTTTTCAGTACCGTTATAAATTCCAAGCAAACTTGTAAATCAAGGACTACCTGTACAGATTACTTATAGTTATTTTATTGTATTAATTTGGAGGCTGCCAATGATTTAGCAGTCGCAATTAGACTTATATACCACTTCATTTTAGCATGCTTCCTTTAGCACAGAGACCTGGAAAAGATGCAGCAGAGCAGGGGTCTCCAACCTTGGCAACTTTAAGACCTGTGGACTTCAATTTCCAGAATTCCCCAGCCAGCAAAACAAAAAAAGGATTTACTGTTAATGCATATTCCTGATAAACAATTGTAACCTCTATAAACAGATTATCTAGTACTGTGATGGCGAACCTATGACACGCGTGCCACAAGGAGCACGCAGAGCCATTTGT